AAAACCCTTTTTCTGCCTGTGGCAGAGCAACAAATGCCCCAACAATCTCCAGTCAAAGAGCATTATATTCAAGGCCAGTCTCACAATCACTACTCCTTCACAGTAAAAATACAGCAATGTATGAAATAAACAAAAATGTCCTGCCCCTTCCTTGACACCTCAAGACAGTTGCCTGAAATGGCTGCCTCATTCTGCCTGACAGCAGAACTGGCCCTGTAAATACAACCTTTTAAAGCCTGTGATTAATATGACAACTTTAAACCTGGTATGTGCAGGGAAATGGGTTCTATTTTAAGCTGGGACACTCCAGGAGTCCAGACTACATACATAAATATGCAAGAACTGAAACACTGGTTACACAGGAAACAGCTTTTGCAAACAAACAGTGCTCTTTCACACATGTATGAATGTATGAATTCAAGGTGGAATGCAACAGGACAATCTCTAGTAAGAGTGCCTTTTGGATCCCATTAAAATTAGTGGGAGTCATGTTTCTATAAGGAAAATATAGAAGCGATATAAATTGTCCCAGGCAAACGATAGGTAAACCACATCTTATTTGTCCCACAGCCTTATGATTTAACCTAACCTACCAAACTTCTCCTACACCTTCAGGATTCATCTATTGGTGTCATGTTGTATATGTGTTGCTGGCATCATAATGACTTCCATTACAGCTTTCTCCTTAGGTACTGGCTGCCATCCATCATTGTTATGTGTGGGTCCCCAAAGGCATTAAACTAAAGGCTTTTGATAGGACAAGGGCTGTTTTCATGGAAAAAGAAGAAGGCACCATCTGCCCCTGAACCAAATCATATCCCTGTACAAATCCAGTTGGACAGAACCAGCAGGATGTGGAGAATAGGTCTTCTGTAGTCAGCAGAAGTGATGGAGAGAGTGCAGGAAACAAGGCATCTATGCAATACGTTGTGGGGCAAGTATTATGCTATGGGCAAAAACTGCTAGGATGAATTAAAGATTTCTAGGTAGAAAATTACACGCCAGCTGCAGTTACCATTATGCTTTTTTTTCTGGGCTCTCAAACCTCGGATCCCTTCTGTGATGCATTCAGTGTCCTTGTATCATACAGCTGGCTGAAACAGAAACTCTGGAGCTACATTGTTGTTTGCAGGAAGCTGGAGTTGGAGGATGGTTGTGTGTAGACCCACAGCTAGTACCAGATCAGGAACTGAATGAATGGTTGATATGAAAAGGAAGACCTGAATTCAGAGTTTGGCCATGTTGGCTAGCGGTTTCTAGGAGCTGTAGTCAGGAAGGTAAAAATAAAAAAGCCCACTGCAATGCTAGAAGAGATTACGGAGTGTGTTGATTAAAGTGCTGTACCCTGGCTGTTTATTCAGGTGTCAGCACCAATGAATTTGGTGGATTTATGTGTGACTAGACGTGCATAGGATTGCAGGTCACATTGAGAAGACCTTGGTACAAATCCCTCCTCCCCAACTATAAAGATAGAAAATAAACCATGTAAAGACAATGGCCAATAAACCTTCCTCATTAGAGAGGACAATAGGCGATACAGTTCTGCATAATACTTGCATGTTCTGATTTCTAGACAAATGTTGGGGAGAAATTACTGGAATTTAAGTAGAAATAAAATGCATCTTATCAAAGTGGGCAAGACTTTGATCAGGTGATGCATGCACCTGCTGAGTCTGCTCTCTAGATGCTCAAAGTTTGGTAGGCATAGACTCTGATCTTAACTCACCACTACCTCAGCCTTTTTTCTTGAGATTTTGACATGGTTTAGTTCACTTACTTCATAATATTGTAAATCTGCAGTGGCTGGAAGGTCCTTGGCTTCTGCCCTCTAGTACTGTTCCAATGATATCACTATTAAGAAAATTATCTGAAATACTAGTAGGAATATTTATGATCCATCACTTTCTAGAACCTAACATCAAAACAGTTTCTTTATGGTGTCCTCTGTTGGTTCTGGTTGAATATATAACTAGCTTTCAAATACTTGTTTATGACAAATTCAGAGTCACTGAAGCATAGTGTTCAAGACCATTCTACTCTGAAATAAGGACTTGCAACTTTTGATTGAATATTTCCAGGTTTTCGACTCACGAGGTGACTTCAAGCCAGTCACAATCTCACACATAGGGTTGCTGAGAGAACAGCTCAGTATCAACACGCTGTAAACACCTCTGGACTCAAAGTAACAGTAACAAAGGGAAAGGGGGAATGAGATGGATAGAAGAAGCCATGGATTTAAATTACAGGTAGAAAACTGCAAGCTGATTCCTTGGGAGAAGTTTATAGTAGTGGAGCTTGTGTGGTGGGGGGGCGAATGTGGAGTAGCTGTAGAATTTGTTTCTTCAGAATTCAGGGAAAGGATAGATGGTCATCGCCTGAGGACTCTTTAGGAATCTCTTCCTAGTATTTTGCCATAAGGAGTGCCACTTCTTACTACAAGGTCTATTACTGCTATTACTACTGCAGGAGAAATTTAGGGAACAACGACAGCCACTCTTTGTGGCCTTCATAGATCTCACAAAGGCAGGGACTTGGTTAGCAGCAAATCCCCAACTGTGGGGGTGCCCACCCTCAGTACCTCCGTCTTGTCTGGGTTCAGCCTCAGCCCGTTCTCCTGCATCCATTGCAGTAAAGTCCCCAGGCAGCGCTGAAGGGACAGAACGGCATCTCCTGCAGTTGGTGAAAAGGAGATGTAGAGCTGAGTGTCATCGGCATACTGATGACACAAGGCTCCACACCCCCTGATGACCCCACCCAGCGGCCTCATGTAGATGTTGAACAGCATTGTTCAGTAGATCAGATGGAAAGCTCTTTAATCTCTCTAGATTGAAAGCAAAGATCAAAGTCAAAGTGAAATGCATGCAGGACTTCCTCTTTGCTGATGATGCAGCCGTTGTTGGCCACTCTGCTGAAGACCTCCAACAACTCATGAATCGTTTTAGCAAGGCCTGCCAAGACTTTGGACTAACAATCAGCCTGAAGAAAACACAAGTCATGGGCCATGGCGTGGATTCACCTCCCTCTATTCCCATCTACATGCAAAAATTGGAGGTTGTTCATGACTTCGTGTACCTTGGCTCAACAATCTCTGACACTCTCTCCCTAGATGTCAAGCTGGATAAACGCATTGGGAAAGCAGCTACCATGTTCTCTAGACTCACAAAGGAAGAGGGAGTAAGCAAAGAAAGGATGAAACTAATAAGTTAATTGAATTACAGTAGGGCATGAAAACTAGGAGGGTTGTGCCAAAGGCTTCACAGGATCATGGTAACATGCAAGTTTTCTGGATGCAGTCCTAAGCCCTTAGGGCCAACAAAGGAGAAACAACAGTCTTTTGAGGTAGTTAGAGACCGTTGGGGAGCAAAGATCATGGGTGGGTGTTTATAGATCACCATTGACGTCTTTCCTGCTGATGTGGTTTGAGAAAGGCATCAGAAGGAACATTGCCATTTGTCTGAGACTGCAGCCCCACAGACTGTGGGGCAAATAGAAACAGAAAAAGAACTCATGCTATGACAGTTTAGTCTTATTTATATAATTCCCATCCATCAATATCATGAACTGGTGGTCAAGACATGTAGTGTGAATGAGAAGAGAATGTATGCAGGGCTTATTTGCATGTTTGTGGAAGGAAGTAGGTTAATATTAGTGAAAGGAAACAGGAGATGTAGGAAAGTTCCTCACATGGGGCATCCTGGAAGCAGAGAGAGCTCAACTCAGTATTTGAAGATTCTTATCCAGTAAAACTGAGATTAACCTAAAGTAGGAATAAAAGATGCTGCATACTCTTCTGGTTCCATGCTGTCACTGTGACTGGCGACTGAGTCAGTATTCCGCCCATTATTTTGCATCCTGCACATTGCCTGATCCTTAGCAGGAATCTAGAAGATAGTGGCATGTGCAAGGGAAGAGCAGTCACCACCCAAAAACAT